CAAGAGTCTGTAAACTAAGGCAAAGTTCTCAAGATTTGCGGAGGTCAGCCCATCTGCTAGAAAAGAGAGATAAGAAATCCTTATCTGGTTTAAGGGAAAATGAGATGCTTTCTTTCTTTCATGGGACAGGAAAAGCTTTATATGATACGAGGAAAGGATTCTAGTTCAGTCTCGTCAGTGTTGCAGTTTCATGCCGGACCTGTTTCCAAGTGGATTTCTAGTTTCATGTTTCAAATTCTGCCAGGTTCCTATTCTGGACATTGGATCTTCATGCTGTCTTGTTCCTTTGAGTTTTGCATCTTTGGATCTTGTGTTTCTACCTTTCTACCCTGAACTTCATGGACTATTTGTACTCTTTGGAAAATACTGTTTTGGACTATATTGTTTCTATCATTTTTATTGATTTGCTTACATATATCCTTCAATAAACTGTTTGCTGATTTTACTATATTGGTGTGGTGTTTAAGGACAGAGGTGTTCCTGCTCTAGGATACAACAATTAATTCCTTTTTGTGTTATTGTAATAAAATTATGCAGACTTGTATAATGAAAAATTCCTTAATTGTTATTATGTTTATTTATCAATCTTATTTGTTTATGCTGTATGACCCCTGTATCTATAGGAGATACCAGAAATCACAGATAAAAGGGAGGTCTATTTAAATGAAAGATTTCTGGCCAAGAATACTATAGAATGCATATTAATTGCTGCAGTATCTAGAAAATGCATAGAGATGGCATATTTTGTCAGATGTGAATAAATAAAATCATGGGTACCAGTCATGGATATAGGAGATATAAACTAGATAGTTTTAATTATTGAAAAATTTTTGGGGGTAAAGGTTTGATTGTATTTCTTTAGGAAATATATTAATAGAGTTTATAATTAGTTAAATGTAAAACCATAAACATGAACAAATGATGAATTATCTCCAGTGACAGCTGTCATGAAAGAGTTATTCTGCGGTTATCCTGTATATATTTGGATTCCTTGTAAATACGTCATAGGCTGAGTGTTATCATTTGCATTTTATGGCCTTTGGCCCAGTTTTTCACAAACTTTTGTCGTCTGTGTATATTACCATCTGTTCATCTATGTATGTGGCGTAGGTTTTGGAATATAGAATCTAACACAATGGAGATAGCAAAGGAAGATGGGGAAATGGAGGTGAATAAATAGTAGAACAATCTTGTATGTGCATGTGCATGCAGTCAGTTTTATGCTTACCAATACTTATACCTAGGAATGCCAGCAAAATCCACATGGGAATACATTGGTACCATATTTTCCCTATTCTGGAGGGGCAGCATCTTTGTGATGCCAGACTTGAAGGCACACAACATCAACGGATTAGCTTGTACGGGACTGTTGGAAGTAGAAATGCATTTTTGCATTTACAAAACTGTATAAATGGCTTCCTTTGGACCTCTTTGTAGATACATATGCATTTGTTTGTAGATCTTTTTTCTGCCTCAAATCAGCTAGCTTCACATGTGCCAAGTTCTCTTTTGGTGTGTCTATCATCTAAATGAGGGTGTTTTAAAATTGTGATGAAAACAGCTCTAGCCTGTGCTTATGCTTATGGCATGATAAAAATATTAGTCTTTAAGGCACCATCAAATTATTTTGCTGTTTTTAACACCATCAAGGAGTTTATGCGAGGGCAAAATTCTCATTTTTTTCAAGCTGTCAGATTCAGGATATTTTTCTCTCCATAACAGAATGCAGGAGGCAGTGCACTTAGAAGTTTTATTCTGGTGTATTTTAAGCAAGAAGCTTTTTGTCTAAAGCTGCTAAAAATTTAAAGATGTGAGAGTAACAGGAATGTAGCAAAGATGCAATTTTGGAATTTCTTTGTACAGTTCCCTTGTGTCCTTCTACCTACGATACGTAAAGGAGTAAAAGGATGCTCTTAGATGCCCTACATGTTGCTAAAGCAGAGAGAAGCATCCATACAGGCATAAAAGGTTGGAAAACAGGAGCAGCTCTCTAAATTTTGCAGTCAAAATTATGTCCCAAGAAAACATATTCTTCTCATACTAAGCACTGTTTAGCTGCTGTTATAAGATGAAATGTCTCCAATGATGTAATTATGAACTCAGGGCTCACAGTGTCAAAGGTCCAGGACTTTTTAATCAACAGGGACAATGACATTATCTGCCATCTCATTTAGACTCCATTGTTCCCTCTGAATTTAGTCATCATCCACAGGGTAACTAGAAAGGACTACCCTCCCCCAGGAATGGCATATTGTTATGATCTATTCTTGTAGTAATCAAATATATTTGAATTAGTAGCATCTTTAGGATTCATGTTACCCAGATCAGTAATTCATGGCATCACCTTGCTATACCAGACCAGAGCATATAGTAGCTAAATTGTCCAAAGATTTGACAAAACAAGTGACTTAAAAAAAACTAGTAACAATGAAAACAACAGCACATGCTTACAGCAGATGCAGACAAAAATATATAATTCAAAGGAGCTCTACACATGGGGCATTTTAACCCCATTTAACTGCTTTTAATCATGGCTTGGACAGGGCCTGCTGTGTGCCATAACACAATGCATGGCACACCCTGCCCACATTCCTCCCAAAGTGGAGGGGAAACACCAAAAGGTGCTTCCTCCACCACAATGGGAGGAAAGTGTATTTTGGGTAGCTCTGACTGAGACATCCACACGTTCCTCCTCTTTCCCCCGTAGGATGGAGGAAAGAGTGGTGGGGCAACCCTTTCTTCCATTTGATGGGGCCAGGGACAGGATGCCTACGTGCCCTGACCCATCCCCACCATATGATGGCAGTAGGGAGGGCGCATGGGATGCCCCAAGCCACCTTGCCTTATTTCCCTTTCGCCTGGGACTGCTGGTGAAATGGCATGGCCCAAAAGTACCACGTGAAGAGATCGAAAGTGTTGCTGTAACTGGGTAATAATGACAGCTCTAATCAGAATAAATGTGCATGAGAAGATGAGAAGATTTTAAAAATGTGCACGAAAAGATAAAAACAAATTAGCATAGAGTTTTAGGTTTGTAAGTGTGTTGAGATAATATTCCTGAGCTGGTCTTTTGAAAAATGCTTTTGTGTATATCTGACTGCAGGGATTTATTTATTTATTTATTTATTTACTGCATTTTTACCCTGCTCTATGTCAACCCCGGAGGATTTAAAAATAAATATATATTTGTGCTGAAATTTTATAATAAAAATTTTGATTGGTAGTCATTTTGGTGCCAACCCCTCTGATAGTGTGATTCAGTGTGGTTTGCATCAATTTGAAGCTGGTTTTATGAAATGTTTATTTCTGGTAGATATGAAACTGCTAGAAGTTAGTTTTGGTCGAGATAGCCACCAGCACTTTTGAATTCTACATGATCAAAAGTTTCAGTAAACTGTACTTCAGACTTTAGCACTGTAGTCCTGGCATTCCCATAACTGGTAGAAAAACCAACAATGAACAGGAAAAGAACAATCCCAGCTCTGACCCAAACACAGTGTATGTCACATATTGATGTTTCTGTTTCACCTGTTTCCTATGGTATTGATAGCCAAGGATATCTCAATTTCCCAAATACTGCCCACTTAACATAGAATGGATCTCAAAATTTAGTCTTTGTAAACATTAGTTTTGTCAACCTCCTCAAAAAGAGAAAAATGTTTAAGAAAAAATGATTCCTTCTTCCCTCCAGAACAAAATTTATGAAGGTTTACATCACCTGAAATAGTACAGAGACATGGATTTGAGTAATGTCAACCCATTTCTTCATTGGGAAATGTACAGATGGTGCTGCATTCACACAGGGTTCTTCTTCAGCCCACTGAGTTTCAGCCATGCTTGTATCTCTCCCTGTGTTTAGAGACACTGGCCATGTCAGTGTGGGATGTTCAGTTCACACAACATGGATTTGCCTTTTCATTGGTGCTACAGTACCAACGGGGATCAAACAGGAGGGAAACATGCATGCATCTAATGGCTACTAATACAAACGGGGATTGTTATTGTGCTGCAGTGAAAGGCGCATCAGTTAAATTTGCCTCCCCGCATAAGTGGTACTTAATAGGGCTGGGCGGTTTCGTTTCGTTAATTCGTAATTCGTTAATTTTTTCAATTACAAAACGATAACGAACTATTCTGGAGCAATTATTAAAAAAAACGAATTTTCAAAAACGTTTTGTAAATGCTTCGTATTTCGATATTGTATTCGTTTCGTTATTGTTTTGAGGTCGTTTCGTTATTATTTCCGCATGTCTGGGCCAGTTTTATGGTTTAATTAGTGAAAAAAAATTATAATATCACACCAACAGTCAACAACAGAGGGAGAGGGAAGCTTCAGAAGGTTTTGGAGGTTTTTTAGCGTATTTCGCGGTCGCATCCGCCATTAACAAATCGATTCGTTATTGTTTCGGAAATCGATTCGTTAATTTTTTACCATTTACGAAATTTCGTAAATATCGAACTTTTTAAAAGGAAAATTTTGTAATTATTTTAAATATCGAAACAAAAAACCCCCCAAATACAAATCGATTTTAGAAACAAATTTTTCCGTTGTTACCCAGGCCTAGTACTTTGTATGGAAACAAATTTTTAAAATGACAACTGTAACTTCAATAGAAATGTGAGATGGTTTGAGGCCATGTGTTCATGAGCCATCTCAAGGTTTCTTGGCCCAAACAAGACTACATCTCCAAACCAAGTGCTGCACTTTAACAGCACCCCAAAGAAAGGAATCTGCTCTTTAAAACAGGCCAACCAAGAGATACTCAGTAGATAGGGCTCACATTTATTTATTTATTTATTTTCTGTATTTGTATACCGCCCTTCTCAACCCTCAGGTCACTCAGGGCAGTTTACAGAGGCAATGATTCAATGCCTCATATGGGCTGTTACATTGATATAGCCAGGTGAGATCCCTGCTTTTGTACTTTCTTTAGCATCCATATACAAAAGGAAGATTTACACACCAAGCTAGACTTGAATGCTCTTTCTTTTCTTTTCAGATTTTTCGGCGAGCTGACAAGAATGGTGAGTTACCTGCTGCATGATTTCCTTGATCGTTTCTCTTGTGCTAACTGTTATGATTTTAAAATATAGCCCACTGGCAAGTGGTAGTTTCCATGTGAGTGGGCTGGTGACGCAATTCCAGGTTTTAGTCTGAATGTTAAAAGAGCTATCTGTACTGGGGATAGAGTTCAGCACTATGAACAACTTCTTTAACAGCTATGGAATCGACCAGCCGCCACAGGTGTAGCCTTCACTCTTCTCAAATGTTAGTGATGGGCATCACATGCTTTTTTAGTAGAGTACTCTCGACTTAAATGGCCTTTAGAAAATAAAATGAACCAACTTATTTCTGTTACACCCCTTCTCCGAGGAGATCATATTGACAAGCATTGACACCCTTTCCCCAATATTTGTGTCTCACAACTGCTTATCAGGTAAATTATTCAAACAAGTAGTGACTTGTCTACAGCTATCAGTAAGCATAATGGATTAGTCCAAATTTGAACTCGGATTTCACCAATAATAGTCCTATAGTATTCACTTTCTTTGTAATTACAATGAAACCTTGAGTTAAGAGTTTAATTTGTTCAGCAACTCAGCTTTTAACTCAAATCACTCTTATCTCAAAGTGAATTTTCCCACTGAACTGCTATTAATTTGTTCCAGCCCCCTGAAACCCACCTCCACCCAATTTTTTTGTTGCGTGTTATTAAAGAAAATGTACATTATAAATAACAATCTGTAGCATATTATTTCAATTTAATTCTCAGATAATCTCTTCATGTCTATATCTGTCATGGTTATCTATCATTTCTCATAATTGTAGCCACTTATGGAGAGAAAAAGTGGGGTAATAATAATAATAATAATAATAATAATGAGAAAAACCTTAAATATATCTCTATCTATCATTGAATGTTTGCTGTATGTGTGTTCTGTAATCTACTCTGAGTCCCCTTTGGGGTGAGAAGGGCAGAATATAAGTACTGTAAATAAATAAATAAATAAATAAATAAATAAATAAATAAATAATCTGTAGCCCTTGCTTTGGCTATCTTAAGTCAATAGCCCCTGGGTGAATCAGTCCTTTTTGTTAAATGCTGATCTGTGGTTGCCTTCCTACTGTCCATTCTGACCTTTGCATCCCCTGAAACGACTACCTTCATATTTCCATCATTTCCTCCAAATCTGGTCTGAATTTTATGATGACATTTTCAGTTTTACTGAATACTCTTGACCTTTGTTCATTTCATTTGGAATTCATTTTTGGTTACATTTTAAGCATATTTTACAAAGTATTTTTCTCTGTGCTCCATTGTTCTGCTCATGTTATCTTCAATTTGGAATTTCCAAATTTGCAGGTGGCAAACTGGATGTTAACCCTGGTTTTATATGTCTGTCATCCCTGGGCAACTTTATTAATTGCATCCAAGGTAGAAAGTGCCCAGCTACTCACTAACCTCCACTGACAAGATGTAACTAAGAAATAATACTACGATTCTATAGATGTTGTGTCTACATTATGATTATTGATAACTTGTATAGACCTTTGCTGGCATTTCTTCATGCCTGCATTTGATCATGTTGTTGGAAGAGTCTCTACATTTTTTGTATGAGAACCAGCATAGCAATATGAGCTTTGAATTATGACTGGAAAATAGGATTCAGATCCCACTTAGCCATGAAAACCCCTGAGTTACCTGGGACAAGTTATATTCTCTCAGCCTCAGAGAAAGTCAATGGCAAACTTTCTTGCCAAGAAACCCTATATGTGCTCAGGTTGTTCTGTGTCAGAATTGACTTGAAAGTGCATAACAACAATCTTGTCCCTGTTTTTAAGTTGCCACTAATTGTATTGGTTACTCAAAGTAAAACATGGATGGAGCACTTAGACTCAGTTCTACCACTTTGGAATTTTACCAACATTAGTGGCAAATATATCTTGGGATTTCACCATGCTGACTGAGGTCTTTGAGGAGTTGTAGTCCACAAAAATGACTCTTCCACCCTCTGATACAGCATCACCATTGCTATGGTTGATGAATTTGCCTCACATGTTTATACTGCAATATCCCCCTAGTACAGAACAAACTGAATTAATTAGACAGTATAGCATGCCAGGCACTGTGTTACTTTCTCTTTGCAGAAGTATAATTATTCTCCTTCCTTTGTTTAAATGTAGATGATGGGAAGTTGTCATTTGAAGAGTTTAAAAACTGTTGTGCTGATGGCATCCTCAGCTCCGAAGAACTATGGGAGCTGTTCAACAGCATTGATAGGCGTCATTCAGGGTAAGTGAAAGTTTATCATAGAAACTATCATAGAAAGCCAAGGACAACAGACACAACCTCCCAGAAAGGTTGACCACAATGTTTCTAGATACAGCTGTACAGTCTTTGCATTTGATGATGTGGTGGATCCAGTCAGCAGACAGTCTGCCTCCTGGCCTGTGATAATCTCTAACCTAACCTCACCCTGGCTGTTGAGGAGGGAAAAAGAGAATTCATGAGAAGTAAGATTCCTCATGAGCTCCTGTATGGTTCCAGACAGAATGGCACAGCTACCAAAAAGTGAAGCTGGTCTAATAGCCCCCCTACCAAGGTGATCATATCTCTGACATCTCAGGGGATGGAGGTCAATAATAGCACAGAATCTGCTTTGAATGCAAAAATTGCCTCATTCGATCTCTGGCCTCTCTGGGTGAGCTGCAAAAGTTCCCTGTCGGAATTACTAATGATAAAAATTTTGGGGGAGGTTGAAATTTTTGAGGGGGGGGGTTGAAAATTTCACGGGGGGGGTTGAAACCTGCCTCCTAGCTCACGCTGAAGCAAAGAGCACAGCAGGGGGCAGAGCAGCCTTCAATAGCCTGCAGCTCCGCCCTTGTCAACCACCTCCACCAAGTCTGGCCTCCTTAATGAGAGCATTCAACATCCCCCCCCCCCCAACTTGGTTGCTTCACTACTGTTCTGTCGTGCGCTGGGCCTGTAAATAATTGTCTTTAGAACAGGATGTGCAACCTTTGCCCAGCGGGAAGCCAGGGGGCCTAAAGAGAAGTTCTCAGAGGTTTCCACCACAAACAGTCTTTAGATGGCTTGAGAAATACAACAAAGTCTTTTATTAATGAACAATCAAACAGAAACTTCTCTTGTCTTCAGTAAAGTTAAGCAAATGATTCCAAGCTTTTAGGCAACTGGTGAATTCCTAATCTTGCCCACGAAGGACAGGCAACTGTCTTCAATAATTTCTTCTTTAAAGGAAAATCCCCTTTTTAACTTCTCCCAGGCTGACTGTAATCTAACCCTTACTGATGTGGGCTCCGCTACCGGGTCGAACTGCATCTCGAACGCCGAGTGGACCTACCAGCAAGGCAGTAGATGTTCTCCAGCTGGAGTTCTTTGGTCTTTAGGGCTGTTTTCCTGGAAATTCTTTGGAGACTCTTAAGACCTTTCTCCCCCGGAAGGTCTTAAGGGTTGAAGCTTTTGTACAGGGGAAGCTTGCACACATCCTATACATAAGCTTACCTTGCTGAGACTAACTAAAAATGGCTCCCTTCCCTTCCCAATTGCCCTGAGCAAGGGGGGACCAAAACTTAACAATGATGGACAGGTGACTTGCCCTATGACTGCAACCAAAGAAGCCACCTATCTGCAGAGTCCCTGAAACCTAGGACTGCAAGCAAACATTTAATACAAAGCAAATAAAGTTGGAGCTCCTGGTACAGCTGTACCAGAACAACTACATCGGCTATTGCTGCAAGTAATGACAGTGTGAATAAATTGCTAATATTTGCTTGAGATAGTGCTTGCAGTTCTGGAGGGACTCTTGATTTTTTGCATCTCATAGACTTAGCATGGGGATTTGGTTAACCAGTTAAAATTCATGAGTAAACCAGGTTTTTAAAAAATCTGAAACATTTCGGGGGGGGTTGAACCCCTAAATCCCCCCCCCCTCGCTACAGGTCTGTGTGTAGGCCAATTCTCTCCAAATTTGGACCCCCAGACATTGTCAAATATCCAAGTACTTTGCTGAGTCCTAATAAACATGGCTTATTGTCAAAGATCCAGGGCAATATAGTATCAACAACTCAATGGAGTCATGTTTTGGAACCACTAAAGCTGATAATACTGAACTAGAAGATCCAAAGATAGGGGGATATAATTTTTCACTGAAACGTTCTTGCTTTGCTTAACACAGGTTAACTGATGCTGTTAACAGATATCATAAACATATAATAAGATCAGTGGCTTGGTAGATGATATATTGCATTTATTGTTACATATAGGGTGTGAACACATAAATTGGTTTATTCTCATTCCATCTTGCTGTGTTTTGCATTTTGAACTATACATTGGAAGGGATGTGTAAAACAGAACATGGGGAACCTGTATCTGTTTGGATGTTACTAAACTCCCAACATCTATTATCATTGATCATGCTGGCCAAGTTTGATAGGAGTTACAGTTCCAACAATTAGATGACCACAGATTTCCCCATTCCTAGTGCAGAAGATGTCTAGGCTAGATGTCTTTTCATGTTCAGCCAGCCTTACAGTGTGGCGATTTTATACGTCAGTGAGATGGTACTCTTTCTAAAAGCTAATTTAGGCTGCCTTATGCTGGTAAGGGAGCAACAGATTGTTTGAAGACACAGCTTGTGTCTTGGTAAGCTTGGTAAGCCAGGGAATTAAAGCTGTTTTAAAAATAGTCCAGGCTCTGATCATAATTAAGATAGCATGTTAACTTCACAGCAGTATGCCTGAATTGCATGGATCAAAATCTCCTTTACTATTTTTGTCCAAGGACAGATTAAAATAACATGTAAATTCTCTAAGAAACACGCAAAGAAGATATTTTTGCTTTTAAGCAGCATAACAAGTGCTGTCCTCCACAGCATGACTTAAGCTAAGTGAAAGAGTTACATTGTAAAAGAGGGTTGCCTTTCTCTTCTGTAGGTTTGGCTTGACTGCTTTGCTTGTTTTGAATGAATGGAATTGGTCTCCAAAAGGAGACAGTTAATGGGACCAGTCTTTAAGCATTTTGTCATAATTTATAGTGCTTAACCTTTGTATGGTGCTTTTGAGTCTTCAGAACACTTTCCATGCCTTATCTACTTGTGATTCTTACAATAGCCCTGTACACAGGGCCGTAGCCAGAAAAAAATTTCGGGGAGGGTTGACAATTTGGGGGGGGTTGAAAATTTTGGGGAGGGTTGAAAATTTGGGGGGGGGGGTTGAAACCTGCCTCCTAGCTCACGCTGAAGCAAAGAGCACAGCAGGGGGCAGAGCAACCTTCCATAGCCTGCAGCTCCACCCCTGTCAACCACCTCCACCAAGTCTGGCTTCCTTAATGAGAGCATTCAACACACACACACCCAACTTGGTTGCTTCACTACATTGGCTATTGCTGCAAGTAATGACAGTGTGAATAAATTGTCAATATTTGCTTGAGATAGTGCTTACAGTTCTGGAGGGACTCTTAATTTTTTGCATCTCATAGACTTAGCATGGGGATTTGGTTAACCAGTTAAAATTCATGAGTAAACCAGTTTTTTTAAAAAAATCTGAAACATTTCGGGGGGGGTTGAACCCCTAAAACCACCCCCTCGCTACAGGCCTGCCTGTACATCAAATTAGTTTCAGTATCTTGCCTATTGCAGATGAGCAAATAGAAGCTCAGGAAGAGTGAATTCATGGCAGAGAAGGATTCCCAACAAGGTTACTTTTTTTTGTTCCAGTATCTTGCAGTAGCCATACCACTGTAGGCAACAATTAAGGGATTAAAAACAATTATTTCTTATCTGTCAGGATAGGATTGGCTGCTTCTTGAAATTGAGTTTAGAACAGTGGTTCCTAAACTGTGTTTTGCAGAACCCTAGGATTCCACAAAAACATCAAAAAATTAAATTTAATATGGATAAGACCAATTACTCAATTGTCTCAAATGTGAGAAAAGAGGGAGTGTGGGTTATCTCCAGGGGCTATGTCCCTGAACTGAGGGAGCAGCGAGAACATGAGAGGATTATTTGCGGAGTTAAACTATATTATGTGCCTCTAGCTAATGGAATGGAGGTATTTTTTTTTGGGGGGGGGGGATATATCAATGAAGAGCATCTTTGTCCCCCTTATCTTTAAAAGGTTATTTGTTTTAAAGAGAAGATTTAGCAGCTAATTTCAGCTTAAAACCCTACAAAAGTTGATGTGTTTCTCTCCTCTTAAGAGAAGTTTACCAACCACAAATCTGATACAATAAGAGAAAGAGAGGATGAAGAAAGAAAGAGGGTGGGGTGATGTGTGCTGTATATGTTGTGTCCTCTTACTGGCTGTTCCCAACTTTTATAACCCAAAACTCAGAAAGTTCACTCCAAATCTATCTCATTAAAACATTTTGTCAATTAAAAAAATGCATCTGATTGTTTGGTCAAAAGTTTAATTATTCTCTATTTCTCCTGATTCAACTCTTTAATCTTCTTTTTAGAAACTCCAAAAAGGTCATAAATCTCTGAACTCCATGTTTATCCTTTTCTACAAAGTAGATAAATACCTGTGTCTAGAGCCACAAATGCATCTGCTTATTTTTTTTTATATTTTTAGTACCATAGTAATTAAAAAGATCTGAGTACAACTCTTATCAGTACCAATTAAGAGGAAAATCAAAAAACAACCTGACATTGATTAATCGCACAGAAAAATACATTTCTACCTTCTATTTAGGCCCTTTAAGTCTCTATCAAGTTAGTATTCAAAGCATAAAACCTCTTTTGTTTCACAGTGAAAGCATAATAGGGAAGCGTGTGCTTACTTCAAACATAAATGCATACATAATGTAAAGAGTAAATAAAAAGAAATATTTATACCTAAAGAGTTAAAAGCAACAGTATGACAAACTTCACCTAATCATTCCCTTTCTGTCAGCAGAGAATCTTATTAAATTAAAGCAATTCATGATGTAATCGCAAATAACATGTAACTATGACAAAACATTTTAAATTCATTATTAGGTTTTTGTGCCTGTTCTCAGTATTTCATACTCGACAAGACAGCTAAAAGATAGGTTTTCAGTTGCATAATGTTAACTGGGAGTAAGTTTTCAAGGCTGCACAATGCAGGTGTCTTGTCTTCAAATGTTCTTTATTAACACATCTATTTAAAAAAGTACTCTGTGTTCACATGGTCCTCTTCCCAGTTGGAATCAATATTTTATCCTCAAGGACAGACTAGACTCACTACTGTAGGTTTATCATAGCTACAAAATTCCAGCTTTGTGAACTAAAGGCTTCCTGAACTTGAGTCTTT